TTTTCGTGGCAATTCATTAATGACAAATGTGGTAAGCCAGACAGATGCTGAAGTTGCTTTTACAATACTACCATCCGAATTCATCAATAGACTAAGGAATGGCTGTGGTTCCATTTCAAGTATCTTTTTATATGCTAAACCATCCGTAATGTCTGAAAGTACCTGTTTATTATCTTTTCTTTTCATTATTGGATTTCGTTCAATTATTGATCTAATTTGTGGTTCAAGTGCAAATGTATAATTCGTTGTAGGTACTCGAACAAATGAAAATTGAGCGTCACAATTAGGAGTATTTGTACGCATTTTTGAATTTGATGATTGTTTGAAACATGAAGGACGTATAACTGATTTACGAGGAAATGTAGTTGATCGATGTGGACAAAGAATTAACGACTCAATATTGGCAAAATTAAGTAAGGCATTTGGTACTTTTAATAACTGTAATAATTCACAAATATTTGTAATGCATGATCGTGTGAGTGAATGCCTATAGCGTAATTCGACAAGTAAAACAGCAATCTCTTGTGAAGTTAACGGTTTTGTAGTATCTTCTAATTCAAAATCAGAAGACGATGGTGTATTAACATCGCCTGTAACATCGATATTAATGGAATTAAAATCATCATTGTCTATCGAACAGGTAGAATTATTATTCGAATTAAAAGAATTTTCTGATTGTATCGCCGAACAAGAAGAAGTAGAGCAAGAACGATTTCTGTTGGATGGTGAAAGACTAGGTATATTTGGTAATGGTAATGAATGTGATGAAAATGAAATGTCAGATGGAGAAAATAATGATGAAGATGGAACAGTTGCTGAGACATGTGCACCAGCATTACTAAAAATTGGATATTATAATATTGTTTTACTAAATGTGTACTAAACTCACCTTAAAGTACCAAATACAGATTGCAAGGCTACATGTCGTCGATATGATTGTGCTAATCGCTGATTGAACCGGGATATCCTTTTTCGTATCGATGACATAGTAATGAATTATATTCTTCGATTAAATTCAATGCGAAACCTGCTGTTCTAATTCAGTGAAGAAATATTTTTCTTTTTTAATTTACCAAAAGCAGCTGAAGCTGATCAAAGTAAAATATAATTGGTATCCACAGAGAAAGAAGAACTGATAGATATAGTCGAACAATGTGATATCGGCATTTGAAATAAGCACTAATGACAAAAATAGTATGCTATTGATACTTATTAAATAATAGAATCACTATACGATGACAGAAAATAATTCTTCTGATTAAGATGAATAATATATATTTATTGAATCTATGCGGTATTTAAACGATTTTATGTTATCCGTCTAGATTGTTTCCGTCAATTTTTAATT